GTGGATGGGCCTGCCTTTCTACACAGCACACAATGGACAGAGACAGAATTTCAGAGTATGTGCACCGCAGATGTACTTTTTGCAGTTGGTGCATGTGGTCTGTGTCTTGGAGTTCTTTTAGGGTCCACACACTTTGCAGTGCTTCCTCTTTTTGCCAGTGGCTGCTGGAGGTTGTGGTTGTGTGGGTCCTGCAGGTGGGACAGCAGGATCCTCCAGGATCCTCCTGTTTCCTCCTAACAATGGCAAGAGAAGCTGGGTTCCTGGGCACATGTCTTCTCTGTGTGTGCGGTGTCACTAGTGCCTTGCCTAGTTCCTCCCGAAAAAGACATCTTCTTTGGAGCTTCTTCTGTTTCCAGTTCGGGTTAAGTGCCATCCAGATTACGAAGGCGTTGTATGCCGAAACAGCTTGGATGTTGAATAAAATCACAAGTGGCCACCGTAATGTTCTTCTTTGGCAGCTGTAGCAGGATAGCAGCTTGTCAAGATTGTCAACCCCTCCTTTGGTGGCTTTGTAGTCAAGTATTGGTTTGTGGTCCTCCCGGCCGCTGATTCTCCCATCCCTATGAAGAGTGCTCATAAGCATCACATTTTTGCCCTTTTTGGGTATGTAGGATATGAGGGCAGTGTTAGCCATAAACACAGAGGTGGAGTGGAGTGGGTGAGTGGTGGAATGGACTGGTCTGTTCTTTACAATTAGAAGCTGAGGTGGGAGCTCAGTCCTGTTTTTTCTAATTGTGCCAACCATTGTCAGCTTTCTTTTGAGAAGTTCCTGTCCCAGGCTGTATGTAGTGAAAAAATTATCACAAATGATGTTGTGCCCACTGAGGCCCTGCATCAAATCAAGAACAACCCATGTCCCCTGATTTTTCTCAGGGGCTCCTCCCTCTGGCTTCCCTGTATAAATTTGCATGTTCCATAGAACTGCTCCAGCCTGGCCAATACACGACCAGAACGTGACCAGATGCATTCAACAGGACAGGTGCGATTTTTAATTATGCTACGTATTCAGCAATATGCGAGGCTCGCGACTGTGATCTCTAAAAGAAATGTGAGCTACCAACAGATTACTTTGGATATCTCAAAAACTAAAACCCTTGAGAATACCATCTCTCTTTACAGGTCAAAGTAAGTGTACAACTATTTTGATAATCGTATAGAAATAACATGAAAAGGCGAGCAAAAGGAATTAAGAAACAGGTAGAGAAGAGGAGAGGCAATGAGTTGGGTGCATAATGACATCTTAACATCCCGAACGGGTAAGTATAATTTTATTGGCTTTAATTACATTTTATATAGTAGTCATGAACCAATCATCTGTGCCTTAGTTTTTTAAAACCTGAGCTACAGCTCCTCTGGTCTTCTATTTATCTTTCAGAGTGAGGAGAGAGGAAGTGATGGAGGGCAGGATGAAGTGTAAGACCTTTCATGTGCACGGTAAATATCAGTTGGTCTAATGACGTTAACGATTTTATGTAGTCATCGGTTCCCACTTCATATGAATTTCTAAATATTCCATTTTGTCTTATATTTGTTTCTTTTCAGGAGTATGGAGGAGAGGAGACACCAAAAAGAGATATGAATAGAGGAGAAAAAGGAACAGAAATAAGCAGATGGCAGAAGAGAGGAGGTGGGGGCGTAATGACATATGAATATTTGGAAATGGTCAGTATAATTTTATTTGCTTTAATTACATTTTATATAGTAGTATGCTGATACAAGCCCCCGCTGGCGGGGTTGGGAACCTTTGTGAGAGGCGACCTCACAGGGTTTCCGCCCCCCAGTTTGCGCGTGGCCTCGGTCCGACACAGGCCCCCGCTGGCGGGTTCGGGAACCTTTGTGAAAGGCGAACTCACACGGGTCCTCGCCTCCCC